GCTGGGCAGCCCTTTCCCCCTGGCTGGGGGTGGGAGGGAGGAGGGGGTGGAGTTAGGGCGGGAAGGGGCGGAGTTGGGGCGGGGCTGGGGGTGGGGAAATGGGTGGGGCCAGGGCCCGTGGAGGGTCCTCTTTTTTTATTTATGAGATATGGTAACCCTACTCACTCTGCAAGGTAGCAGGAATGGAGGGAGATATGCACATTTCCCTTAAGTACACTGCCTTGTTAATTAGATCAGCTTGCTGAGACCGCAGCTACTGCAAGCTCCCTCGGTCCTGAGCCCTGCTCTATGGAAGACGGGGTAAGCGGGGTGCAGGAGCAGGGGGGAGGGGGACATCCTGACATTAGCCCCCCCTCTCCCTTCCCTCCCCCCCGGCACAGCAAGTAGGAGTCTCGGGGAGCAGCTCCAAGGCAGAGGGCAGGAGCAGCACTTGGCAGTGGGGGGAGGGACACAGCTGAACTGCAGGCAGCTGCTGCACAGGGAACTTAGGGGAGCAGGGAGCTCATAGGGGGTACTGATAGGGGGCTGCCGGACCACCCTGGTTCTTCTAACAATTTGAAGTTTATTCAAATGAAGAATTTAATGTAACATTCTTGTAGTGTGTTAGAGGGTTTTTTGTATTAAAATGTGTCCTAATTAATGGTTAAAATACATCAAGTAAGGGGGTGGAATTCCCTGTGTCTGTTGCGTGGTCAGGGGCTTTTCTGAGCGGTTCACTTAGTCTTCCATCACTTTTATTCCTTTAGCTGCTCTTTTTGCTGTAGCGTAAGTTCCTCTTGGTGATTCTTCTGTTCCCCAACCTTCCACTCAGCTTCTGCTCAGACCCTGGGGCAAGAATCAAGTTTCACCCTTTCCCTCTGTCTTTGCTAGCCTTTTGACAGGGGATGAAAGTCCCATTGGCATTTCACCTGTTCCCTGCTGCCCCCGCTCATGATTGTTGCTGCTTCTGCGGGGGCTCTCCTAAGTACTTCACCTGCTAATCCTTTCCTCCCGCCCTCCTTGTTGCACCTACCACTGGGGCCAACATGTCCCGTGCTGTTCTCTCACTCTGCTGTCTAAAGCTGCCGGGTCCCAGGGATCCCCTTGGTGTCATGTTTTCAGTTCAGTCTTTTTTGCCTTAACTTCCTTTATACAACAGCATTGAACTATGACACCGTGCTAACAAAAAGTGAGACCAGGCTCAAGAGGAGTAGAACACCTGCTATGCTTTCATAGTGAGAAGGAGGACTGGGAGTCTAGCAACAGTCAAATGGGGGAGGAGAGGGAAGGAATGAGCTAGCACCCAGAGAACAAGACCATATTTGGTCAAAATGAGAGTTGGGGACAGGCAGAACCTGATTGCAGGTGCAAAGTGGCCCAGGCAATACCAACGCCCAATCCATTTTTCATGTGTTCTTACCTCAATTCTTTGCTACGTATCCCTAGTTCAGTCCCTAAATGCCACACCCCATTTCAGAGCACCGCTACTTCTTCCACTCTTACTGCTTGTTTAGGTGCCACACTGGCAGTCTGCCCCCCAAAACACTCTAGTATGAGCCCCTCCTATTTGTATTCTGTAAAATTCCTCACAAAATGTTTCAAAGTGCACCTTTTCCTTTAAAGGTGTTCAGTTAATCATACAAATATTGTAAATTTAAATACGTAGGAGGAATTCTGCCTGTCATTACATGAAAATAGTCATATTAAAGAGAAAATAGGTTGCACACAAAAAAATCTGATTTACAAGGAAGAGAATAGTATTCACTAAAGTAAAACCCTTAGGCTATGTATACATAGGGATCAAAAATCCGTGACTCGCCCTGGCTTGTGGGGCTCTGACTCCAGGGTTGAAAAATCGCTGTGTAGATGCTCAGGCCCATGCTGAAGCCCGAGCTCCGAGACCCTGCAAGGGAGGAGGATCCTGGATCCTGATCTCCAGCCTGAACCCAAATGTCTGCACAGTGATTTTTTTTTAGCCCCGCAGCCTGAGCCCTGCCAGCCTGAGTCAGCTGACCTGGGCCAGCTTTTGCCATGCAGTGGGTCTTTTATGCTTGTGTAGACGTATCCTTTGAGTGAAAGATATGAGGCTGATTTTGTTTCGTTGCCATTAGTAATAATTATGAAAATATTGTATTTCTTTATATTGTAGGTGTGTCGTTTACAAGACCTAGTAAGAAAAAGTGAACAGGGCCTTGGTACTGCAGAAGGACACATCTCCAATCTTCAGGAAACCCAGGAAATACTCCAAAAAGAACTAGAGTTAACCAGAGCAAGGCTGAGAGAGACCACGGATTCATTGTATAATGTTGAGGTAACCACATGATGGGGAAAGCAAATGATTTAAAACACAATGTTTTCTGACTGTTTTTTAAATGTCAAGACCTGGTTTAATGGATATATTAAACAAGTGGCTTCATATAGCCCTATTTTAAAAAAAAGTTGATTTTTTTTTCCATTTCAAATCTTAGGACATAAAAATGAATATTTTAAGAGGTCATTTCTGTTATTAATTGAGTGTTGCTACAAATACATCTTTCTCTAGCTAATTGAAATTGTACTGTAAACAACTCTGAGTAGCTTTATTAGAGCTAGAATTTTGTGTTTAACTCTTGTTGGTTTTCACTTCATGTGGCTCAAACCATGAAATAATGAACATCTAATTGACATGTCATTTTTAAAAGTTTTCTTTTTAAAAGTGGAAGATATCTGTAAAAGACTGAGTAAGAAAGTTTCAGAAAGCAAATGAGCAAAGGTTCACAATTATTGTAGAGAGAATCAAGGTGTTAAGAATATTCTTCTCTTGAAACTAAATTCAACAAAAAACAGTTATGTTTGGTGAACCTCTGACTTAGTCTGCAATATAAACATATAATTTGTTTTTGTTGTTTTGTGAACTGGATTTGCATCTTAAATTATGTGTGTGCATATGTATGTGAAAAGACTCCTTGCCCCCTCAGTTAATTTCCTTATAAAAACCTACTGAGGCGTCACAGAAATGTAGGCTACTTAGAGACCAATTTGCTTATTGTGTACTGTCATATTTTCTTTCTACTAATGTTTATTGAAAAGGAAAACAGCATTTTCAGCTTTTATTTGGTTTTGTTATTTATTCCCTACCTAAAATCATAATTCCCTATTTGTCATGTCATATGTGGTTGCTATGGAAAATATCCTTTACATAGAAAATCATTTAGGCAAATACTTAACTTTAAATGTGAATAATCCCATCCCCTATTCGGCAAAATGCTTGTCTTTGCCAGGGCCCAATGTAAAAGATTAAAAGATTCAATGTACAGGTTGCTAGATTAGTACTAGCATCTTTTTTGTTCCAACTTGTAACTTTCAGATAACCACTGTGCATTCAGAAAGAATAAGCATCTGAAATTTAAATGTTCACATTTAAGAAATGGTTAGTACTAGCAATTGTCTCTGCAGGTTTTAGAATGTATTGGTTAGAGAAGGGCGAATACTGCAAAAAATGTCCCATAAATATTCATTTAAAAAAACAAAAACCCTCTGATACTCTCCACATGCTTTATGAGTTGGCTTTTCATAAATAAAGCAAATACTGCTGGCAGGAATGTTTATTGTAACTATGAAGTTTAAGCAAATATTTCAAAATGTTCATAAAAAATGAATTTTGAATTCCTGATTACAAGTGTCCACCACAAAAACTTTATTATAATTATGCCTTGCCAGGCAAGGAACAGAAAAACATACCATGTGAACTTTGTATCTGATCAAAACAGCTCAAATTTTGAATTGCAAGTGCTGAATGCTTGCAGCCAACCGCTCGCATATGATACACACAAACAAACATTACTTGCATAAATGATTCCTTGAAAAATTTCAAATACGTAATAAATTAAAAAAAATATTTTGTCAGAAATGTAAAGACAAAAGCATAATTCAGATAGATCAAATATTTGTGGAACTGAAAATAACAATGAAAACCGTCTTCATTAGGAGTCAGATTTTTGAATTATTTTATTCATTATTTTATACTTTAATCATGTTAAAATAAGGCACCTGTAAACAGGTGTTTAATGACCAAAAATGTCAATTCTAGTTGTATACACTGGCAGGAATTTTATTTTGATTCAGAGAAAGATTTCTGATCAAAATATTTTTTTGCAGCTGCTGAGTCTCTTATAAAGTTTGTATTTTCAGGAGGAACTAGAACAGGAGAGACAGCAGCATGAAGCAAAGATTTCTGCCATGAGGGAAGAGGAGAAGATGAAAGTTGACAGAATGGCTCGTGATCTAGAAATAAAATGGACAGAAAATCTTCGGCAAGTGTTTTTTCTTTGTTTTAAATAGGAAAGAAAAGCATGCATTAAATGCAACAAATCATTATTAATGCAATGTACAGCAAAGATTTTTGTAATTATATAAGCATTTCAAATTCACTTCTCAATAAATACTTCTTAATTTTTATTTTTATGAAAGGCTAGATCATGTTTTAGTTATGTTACTTTTGCTTTCAGACAGGAATGTAGTAAACTTCGTGAAGAGTTGAGGCTTCAGCATGAAGAGGATAAAAAGGCAGCCATGACTCAGCTCTTGCAACTGAAAGAACGCGAAAAAAATGCTGCCAGGGATGGATGGCAAAAGAAGGTGGAAGATCTTTTAGACCAGGTAACTAGAATGGCTAGTTCAGTATCAGAGGAATGTTATAATTTGGATTTAGGCTGCTGATGGTTTATTACTGACTAATTGTATGAAAGCAGTATAAAACTTGTTTCTAGGAGTAATTTGGATGATGGTAACTCATTACAGGTTACTCAAAAATAACAATACTGATTAATGACAAATTTTTTCTTACTCATTAAAATGATGAGAGAGAGTATATACTCTTGTGTTACTGAACATGAAGAAACTGTTTTGTTATCTCCGCTCTGTGGATTTCTGCCTCTCTACCTATTAATGTTTCTTGTTGTAGGTATTTATGTATTGTGACAGACCCAGACCAGTGGGGTACAGGAGTCTGGTAGAGGGCAAATATGCTGGTCACTGGATGAGTAGTTTTCTGTTCCTTGAGTAACCAGAGCAGGGGCTGCACTAGAGTAATCAGGAACCTGCTAGAACCAGTTAAGGCAGGGAGGCTAATTAGGACACCTGGAGCCAATTAAGAAGAAGCATCTAGAATCAATTGAGGCAGGCTAATCAGGGCACCTGGGTTTTAAAAAGGAGCTCACTTCAGTTTGTGGTGCGAGTGTGAGGAGCTGGGAGCAAGAGGCGCAAGGAGCTGAGAGTGAGAGGGTGTGCTGCTGGAGGACTGAGGAGCACAAGCATTATCAGACACCAGGAGGAAGGTCCTGTGGTGAGAATAAGGAAGGTATTTGGAGGAGGCCATGGGGAAGTAGCCCAGGGAGTTGTAGCTGTCATGCAGCTGTTACAGGAGGCACGATAGACAGCTGCAGTCCACAGGGCCCTGGGCTGGAACCCGGCGTAGAGGGCGGGCCCGGGTTCCCCCCAAACCTCCGAATTGACCTGGACTGTGGGTTCTTCCAGAGGGGAAGGTCTCTGGGCTGTTTGTAATTATTTGAAGGTATCATACATGTTTACATTGCTGGTACAGTAGAAACCATTAAAAAAGTCAAAATTTGCCAATTACCAGTATCACCACACATTTACTACAGCTATCTCCTGCCCTAAATATAGAGGGAAACTATAGTAATCTCAGATACTACCGTGTGGTAATCTTTGTAGATGCTGCCTTTTTAATTGCAGCTACTGTGTGTATTCATGCTAATATTTACTATAATACAGTGCTTCCCCCTTTTAATCATTCACACAAATTCTTTGTTTTATACTTTCTTGCAATGCCAGTAGTGAAGTAGCATTGATTTGATTGACTACTTGGATGAAAAATAAGGATAAGAGAAGGCCAAACATAATTTTAATGACAGAAAGGAATAGCTTTTTGGAAATTATTTAGTAAACATATGTTATTTTTGTGCCTGTATTGTGACTGCTTCAGCCATGGCTTCAAATTTGAGAGCTCAAAAACTTAAGTGTGCAGCTTTGTGCTCACAATTAATTATGGGTGTGTATGTTAGTATTTCCCCATCTAATTACCTGATTTTACACACTGTAGGAAAGTTAAGTTTGTAAATGCTATCATTTGTGCCCATAAAGGTGGAGGCTTCTGAAAATCTTTACCTAAATTACTTTTTACAACTTGAATGTAATCAAGGACTTTTGTTTCTCATTTTTAAGTTCATTCTCATTTTGAGTAGTATTATTTTCAAAGACTCATTTTATTCCCATTTTTTCAGCTTGTAAATGGCATATTCTTAGTTACATTCCCAAAAGGAGCTCAATTTAAAAAGTGATACATCGGCCAAAACATGCTAAACTTTGTGGGGTTTTTTTGTGTGTGTTTATAAAAAACTTTAATTATGTTTGATACTTAAGAAAATGTGTTGTATTTAGGGCTGTCAATTAAATCACAGTTAACTCATGCAATTAACTTAGAAAAATGTATCGCGATTAAAAAAATTAATTGTGATTAATCACAGATTTAATTGCACTGTTAAACGATAGAATACTAATTGAAATTTATTACATATTTTTGGATGTTTTTCTACATTTTCAAATATATTGATTTCAGTTACAACACAGAATACAAAGTGTACAATGCTCAATTTATATTACTTTTGATTACAAATATTTGCACTGTAAAAATGACAGACAAAAGAAATATTTTTCAATTCCCCTAATACAAGTACTGTAGTGCAACCTCTTTATCATGAAAGTGCAACTTACAAATGTAGATTTTTTTTTGTTACATAACCGCACTCCGTAACAAAGCAATGTAAAACTTCAGAGCCTACAAGTCCACTCAGTCCTACTTCTTGTTCAGCCAATCGCTAAAAGAAACAAAATTGTTTACATTTACAGGAGATCCTGCTGCCCGCTTCTTATTTACAGTGTCACCTGAAAGTGAGAACAAACGTTCACATGGCACTTTTGTAGCCGGCATTGCATGGTATTTACGTGCCAGATATGCTAAACATTCATATGCCTCTTCATGCTTCAACCACTTTCCAGAGGACATGCTTCCATGCCGATAACACTTTAAAAAAAAAAGTGTTAATTAAATTTGTGACTGAGCTCCTGGGAGGAGAATTGTATGTCTCCTGCTCCATGGTTTTACCCACATTCTGCCATGTATTTTGTGTTATGGTAGTCTCGGATGATGATCCAGAACATGTTGTTTGATTTAAGAACACTTTCACTGCAGATTTCACAAAACACAAAAAAGGTACCAATGTGAGATTTCTAAAGATAGCAACAGTATTCGACCCAAGGTTTAGGAATCTGAAGTGCCTTCGAAAATCTAAGAGGGATGAGGTGTGGAGTATGCTTTCAGAAGTCTTAAAAGAGCAACACTCTGATGCAGAAACTACAGAACCCGAACCACCAAAAAAGAAAATCAACCTTCTGCTGGTGGCATCTTAATTAGATGATGAAAATGAACATGCATCAGTCCACGCTGCTTTGGATCGTTATCAAGCAGAACCCATCATCAGCATGGACGCATGTCTTCTGGAATGGTGGCTGAAGCATGAAGGAACATGAATCTTTAGCGCATTTGGCACATAAATAGCTTGCGACGTCGGCTACAACATCATGCAAACCCCTGTTCTCACTTTCAGGTGACATTGTAAACAAGAAGCAGGCAGCATTATCTCCTGCAAATGTAAACAAACTTGTTTCTCTTAGTGATTGGCTGAACAAAGAAGTAGGACTGAGTGGACTTGTAGGCTCTAAAGTTTTACAAGGTTTTATTTTTGAATGCAGGTATTTTTGGTACATAATTCTAGATTTGTAAGTTCAATTTTCATGATAAAGAGATTACACTACAGTATTTTTATTAGGTGATTTGAAAAGTACTATTTCTTTTGTTTTTTACAGTGCAAATATTTGTAATAAAAAAATAACATGAAGTGAGAACTGTACACTTTGTATTGTGTTGTAATTTAAATAAATATATTTGGAAATGTAGAAAACATCCACAAATATTTAAATAAATGATATTCTATTGTTTAACAGCACAATTAATCACGATTAATTTTTTTAATCACATGATTAATTGTGATTAATTTTTTTAATCGCTTGATAGCCTAGTTGTAATAAAGCTTGCCTGTTTTTCTGGAGTGTAAAAATACCAGTTTATGACTGTTGGAAATGAGCATGTACTTTTGGGATTTTTTTTCTTTTCCTGAATAAGATTTTGGAACAGAGAAATCCAGAAAAATAATGGTAAAAGGGAAGAGAGGTTATTCTCAGGGTAAGAAGAGAATTGTGGGCGTAGGAGACAACTTGTGTATGTTAAAATGCTTATTCTCTCTTTTACGTTCATTCACCTGTGCCCAGCTACACAAAATAAGAGTTACACCATACTATGACAGCGTGTGGAGATAGATGACTAATTAGAAGCTAAAACAATGCAAAAGACATTTTCCATTTTTCTTCACTTGTTGTTTTTTCATAAACAGATCCTCAGTTGGGATTCTTGTGTGCTATTGACTCTATTCTAGTAAAGTCTGACCTTGCTGGGGGATTTTATGGACTGTGATCTTGTCTGGAGGGTTTAGTTCTTCATATTGAGCATTCAGGGTTTTTTACTTTTGGCTCTGACAGCTTTGCTTTAGTTTTCTGCATCCCATACTCTCACCTTGAAATGGATTAAGTATTTTCATCTTGTTTCTCTGTGATTGGCAAAGGGATTTTGCTGTAGCTCTGTGTAGCTTTTTTCTGATTCTGTCAGTCTTCTTTCTGTAGTTCTAATAATCATCTACTTTTGACCGTTTTAGGTGATTTCAGTATGTAAAGCTAACAAATAATAAGAAGGCAGATCTCTTCATACAAGTGCTCTGTGTGTGAAGTGATAGTGTAGGCCACTTTAATAAGTTGTTTGTATTTCTGGAATGAAGTTGGACCTAACCTTATGTTAAATGACCTTAATAAGTCAGTCCATGTCTAAAAAATGGGCAAATGTTGAGGTAACTACATATTTCAGGCTTTTGGTAGCTAATTTTATTATAGTGTGGCTGGAGGTACTCGGTCATGTTTGATTGTTTTTTTTTCTAAAATGGCTGTTATTGTTCTGAATCTGTTTATAATTGTTTTTTAATGAGAGGCGGGCTTTGGTTTCTGGCCTTCAAGAAAAAAGGTTTGTTTGTTTTTGTTTTGAGCAAAGATTTGGGTCACAGCCATTTTGCTTCCTCCTACCTCAATTGTGTACTGCAATTCCCTGCTTGGAAATGATAAGGCTGTTTTTATAGATGTTAAGGGACCTGATTGTCATTACCATTTACCACTCAGGAGTGTAAATGGGTTTTTAAGGAGGATGTAAAGTCCTTTCACGCTGCTAGAATGGTGTGAAGGAGCCTTAGGCTTGGCCCACACTATGGGGTTAGGTCGAATTTAGCTGCGTTAGGTCAATTTTTAAAATGAATGCGTCCTCACAACCAACCCCTTCCGTCAACCTAAAAGGCTCTTAAAATTGATTTCTGTACTCCTCCCTGATGAGGGGAGTAGCACTAAAATCGACTTTGGGTCGAATTTGAGGTAGTGCGGACGCAAATTGAGGGTATTGGCCTCCGGGAGCTATCCCAGAGTGCTCC